GAGGGGATGTGTAGGCGGGGTGGGAGGTGTGAAATGGCGGGGTGACGCTCTTGGGCAGCAACATGGCAGGGCAGGGCTGTCCTCGGCACCGGCTGCCTGGTGGTGCCGCCGACGGCGGCGGTGCAGGGGGGCAAAGAGGGGCTTGCCGTGAGTGGTCACGATTATAGCTGGCGGCAGCGCGGCAGTGCCAACGTTTTTTTTCGCGGGCAGAGAGCCCACCAAGAGACCAAATACTCTTCCAAGTGAGCGACCGCACGCGTGCATGTACTGAAACACACGCACGCTCGCACGATCTCTGTGACACACGAACACACACGCACACACGCACACGCACACGCACACGCACGCACACACACGCACACGCACACGCACACACACATGCACACGCACACGCACACACATGCAAACATGCACACAACACATTACACTATGCACACTCACTCACACACACACACAAACATCAAATCAAGCCCGCACAAATGCATGCCGAGGCCCAAAAGCATGCTCATGGTATCACAGCACCTTCCCCAGGGCTATCGAAGCGGCCGTGCCTCCGATCGAGTACACGAGCAGCGCCGCAAACAGCGGCGGGTATATGGAGTAGAGGATGCCGCTGAAAGACACGAGGTCGATGATCGAGTTGAGGAGCGTGAGGGACAGCGACAGCGCCGTCTCGGTGAACACCCTGCGGGGGTGGGTGCGGCAAGGGTGGGGGGGGGGGTGTTTTGAGTACACAGGTGGTGCGATTTTGCAAGGTGCAGTGAGCAGAGCACAAGGGTATTAGGAATCATGCACCAGGGCGGAAGTGGGGCTCGATTGTGGGCGGGAGGAGAAGGCCGCTGAGCAGGCATTCACTGAAAGGCCCCACGGCAAGCGGGCCGTGCCGCGCGCTGCTGGCGACGCAGCACAGGCGGGGCCTAACGCTGGTGTGCAGCCAGTGCGGCCTCACTTCACGTCTGCCGCGATGCGCTGGTCCGGGTTGTCCACGAGCTGCCCCGCCTGCAGCTGGTAGAAGGAGCGGTCGCGGAAGTACTGCGCCAGAAGGCGGTTGGTCATCCATTCGCGCCACTGGAGGGACAGGCGGGCCTGGGAGGGGCGGGGAGGGGGGAACAGGGCCGGGAGGAAGGGGGGGTTCAAGCTTTCTTGGGGCGCGATGGGATGTGGGTGAGGGCTCGGCCAGGCCTGGCCCATACCTGGGCAGGGCGCCAAAGGATGACGCGAGTCGTCAGCACCGCGGCTTCAACGTCAGCGCCCACGTGGAGGCCCCGCTGCTGCGCGCCAAGCCCCGCCGGTTCGCCCCCAACCCAGCTTGCCACGGCAGTGGCATACAACCCACGCCACTCCCGTGCGCGCGGCCCGCCGGTGCCACGGCGGCGTCCGCAAGGCGTCGAGGGCACGCCCTAGTAGTCCCGTGCGCCGCACGGACGCACGCTGCTGCCACAGGGCTCGCATGCGGCCATCACACACACACGCGCACATGCACACACCCACACACACGTGCGTGCGTGCGCTCGCACCTGGAAGTACCGCTTTATGACGAACACCGGCACTCCGATCGCGAACCCTCCAAGGTACCGCAGCAGCTGCGTCTGGAAGGCGTCCACGTCGCGCTCCGACAGGGCGTTAAAAAAGTCACGCCCCAAAAAGTTGAAAAGCACACTGCGTTTCGACGGCGCGCCAGGGCACGGGAGGACGGCGGCGGTTTGGAGAGTGAGCAAGGGGGGTTCTTCTTGTCAAGACGGGGGTGTCAACGGGACGAGCGGCGCCTGTCAAAACGCCGAGCTAGGCCAGGCAGCAGCCAGCCTGCACGGCGAAGCGCCTCAGACTGCGAGGCCGCTCGGGCACGCCTCGCCACGCCCCCACACATCCGCGTGACGCTCGACTGACCGCAGGTCTCAACATCCCAACACATCGGCGCTGCAGGCTGCCGCCAGCGGCAGAAGCCCAACAGCCGCGCTCGCTACGCGCCATGATAGGTGCTTGCATTACTTTCAACGCAAACCTTTCTTCTACGATCATCTGGTTTGACCCAAAACGGGCCATTGCAGAGCGGCCGCCGCACCTGACCCCGGTCGTTGCCAGCGTCAACGCCACCACCCCGGCCAGCTTCCACCTAGCTTCGGGCACCTCCTGCCAGTACGGCAGCGCCAACTGCAGGGAATCCAGTCGCGATCGGGATTGCACAAGGCGGTTGGGACGCGCATTTGGTCACGGAGGCAGCTCGTTAGCAGGAGCAGCTCGCACGGCCTGCGCAAGACACACGGTCGCCTGGGCGGCTGGCCACGACTTGCGCTTGCGTCGCGGCCCCGGCGATGCTCGTTGTTCTGACCTTTGAGAGGCGGCCGACGATCACCGATAGGTCTGTCGAGGGGCCCTCTATGTCGCCGCCCGGGGCTGCGAGCGGCGAGAGTGCCGTGCTCGCGCCTCCTGAGGCCGCCACCGCTCTCTGTAGCTCATGCTGCTGCTGCCGCTCCTGCTCGTGCCGCTGCTCCTGCTGTTTGTCCCCTGAAGCTTGTGCTATAGTGCGCGTGCGGCACGGAAGGCGGGCCCCGTGGGCTGAGGCTCTCAGCGCGCGCTGGCGTAGCGGGTGGCCAGGGCGCGACGCCATGGGACGTGCGCCGAAGTGTTGCAAGCTCGCTGGCCTCGCAGCCACCAGAGCAGGCGCATTGGCTGCTGATTGAACCATGGTAGACCTAGCTATTAGAACCATGTTGCATCGACACGTGGAATGGATGATTGCGTTGGGTTGCAAATTTGCAGGTCCGGGTGATGGTGAACCCTTAAATCGATTACACGCAAGTTGTTTAATTTGAATTATATGGTGGTGCGGACATGCATTAGATCATCAGTGCAAGCATGACAAAGCTGGACTGTCTGCGATGTCTTCTAATGGGTGTTGCACGCCGGGCGTGCTGATATGGATCAATCTCATCAGTTGTGATAGCATGGAGCGTACTCCACTAGCCTGCAGGGCAGGGCGAAATGGGTACTGACATAGGCCAGGACACGGACACGGAGACAGGTGGGGTGCAGCAGGCAGAGCGGCAGGGCCACAATCCTGAGCTGAATCCGGCTTCCACTCGAAGAAGATTTCTGCACGGATTGCTTGGCGTCCCTTATCTTTCGCAAGAACAAAGCCACCCATCTGTTCCTGATGCAAGGCTGGACTATCCACCATTTGATCGTCAGCAATCCATGTTACTGCCCCGACAATCGATCCTGCTCTCGGCGTTGGGAACAGCTGCGAAGCCACAAAACGTAACCAAACGTGTGCTGTTTACAGCTCCAACGCCAGCAATTTGTCAGCCGAGGTGTAACATGCGCGAGACGCATGCGTGTGGGTTGGGTGAGCAGGGATTGTGAAAGCCCAGCACTGGCAGGGCGCTCAGCAGTGTGTGGGTGCGGCCTCTGCCACAGGTGGGCTCCCGAAGTCTAGCTGGCACACAAACACAACGCAAACAGGTTGCTCTCATGTTCTGAGAACGGGCTATGAAAACGAATGGCAGGGTACATGTGCCAGCAGCCAGCTCACACACACGGCACGGCCGGCGGCAGCACGGGCCGCCCCAGCGCTTGCGTGTGCTGCGCCGCAACATGAATCAAGCACAGCACCACACCACGGGTCTGCCAATCGGCAAACGCTGACTGTGCCACTTGCTCGCGTCGAGCGGGCACACACGCAAGGGGGACCAACTGCGGGCCCACTGGTGATGCTATCGATGCGGCGTCACAATACAAGACAACAGCAAGGACAGGGACTGGTGTACACTCCACACAAAACCCCAGCCGAGCTGCAAACTGGCAGCCACCATCCAATTTGATGGGTAGAAATAAGCACAGGAGAGGCTGGCCAACAACGTTGTCAGTGTGGCGCGCCGCCGGGGGCAGGAGCTAGAGCCAGAGCCGCTTCAAACTCCTCGGCGCTGCTGATGCTCCAGGCTGCGCCGATTGTGGGGCCCTGTGGGGGCCCGAGCTGCAGCACGCGGCGGTGGTACCGCACCAACGTGGGGCGGTGGCCCACGCTGATGAGGGTCGTGCCGCTGGCCAGGACCGCCTGTGGGTGGGGGAGGGGGCGTGTTGGCAGACACGGGCGTGTTTGCTCTTAGCGCTGGTTGGCCGGAAAGGGGTTGCCGGGCCACAGCGGGAATCCTCGGCCCAGCAACCCGACTGCATCCCAACAAGCACGGGCGCTGGTCCGCCAGCTGCAGGCGCAAGCTGTATCAAGGCCGAACCGAGAGGCATTCAGGCAGGCTGCACGGTGCGCCCGGCTGGATGACCAGGCGCGGTCCCCACACCTGGTACAGCAGGGCCTCGTTGGCTGTGTCCAGGGCTGACGTGGCCTCGTCCAGCAGCGCCAGCCGCGGCGCCGTCAGCAGCAGCCGCGCAAACGCCAGCCGCTGCTGCTCACCCAGCGACAGCAGCTGGGACCAGTCCGCGACGCAGTCCAGCGGACTGCCGCGACCGCCGGCGGCGCTGCCGCTGCCAATGCTGCTGAACGGGGCGTCCACGCCCTCGACGCCCGCGCCGCCGCCATCCCGGATTGACCCCGGCCCGCCGCCTGCCAGGCTGCCGCCGCCGCTGTCTACGGCTGCACGGCAGCGCTCAAGCAGTCCGGCCAGCTGCACCCTCTCCAGCACCTGCACCAGCGCCTCCTCGCTTGGGGCCGGTCGTGCCTGACAGGCCCAGGCACAGGGCGACGTGTTTTCGTAGGCGCGGTGGGGGGCTCAGAGTATGCAGGGATGCACCAAAGGCACATGGCCACGTCACATGCCAGCAAATAGCAGCCCCACTTGGCGCCGCGGCTCCCGCAAACACCCAACAGCCCTCGAGTCAGAGCTGCGCCATCCACCGAACGGCCCTCACCTGCGGATCACCCTGCTTCGACGCAGCAGTCACGGCCTCATCCGTGTCGCCGCCGCTGCCGCTGCTGCTGCCGTCTTGCCCTGCCGCCCCGCGCTCGCTCCAGGTAGGGTACAGCAGCTGGTCCCGCAGGGAGCCCAGCACCATGTAGGGCTTCTGGGGCAGGAACAGCACGCTGCCGGGCTGGCAGCCGGGGTCACCCAGTCCGGGCAGTCCGTAGCTCAGGACGGAGCCGCCGCCGGACTGCCAGAGCCCGGCGAGGGCGCGCAGCAGGGAGGTCTTGCCGGCGCCCGAAGGGCCGACGATGAGAAGCGGCTCGCCGGCGCGCACCTGGCAATGTGTTCGACAGAGTTGCACCATGTGGGGGTTGTTTGCAGGTGATATCAGGTGCGAATGCTCGGGGTGATCCGGATGGTGGATGCTGGTGCCAGCGGGCCACGGGTGCCATCATGACCTCTGCTGTTGCTCGTGCACAATCGTGCTGTGTATACCTTGAACGCCTGGCTACCTCACCTCGCCCCCCGACCGCGCCCCCCTCCCCCAAACCCCGCCACGACACGAAGTGCCATCAGGCTGCACAGGGCCGCACCTGAAGGTCAAGCCCCTGCACCAGCTTTGCAGAGCCATCCGGCGTCGAAACACTAAGCGAGCGCAGCTCCAGCAACAGCTCGCCGGCGCCGCCGGCGCCGCTGCCGTTCTCCCGCCCCGCTGCCGCGTCGGGGCCGAGGTGCGTGATGGTGATGCCCCCCGGCCCCGCCTCGGCCGCAGCGTCTGCCGATGCCGCCGACCGCCGGCCCGACGCTCCCGTCCCCGCTCCCGCCGCGCCTCCCCCCGCTGCCGCTGCCTGGCCGCCGCCCTCCCGCCCCGCCGCGGGCGCCCCCGTCGCCGGCAGCTGCTTCTCGGCAGCTTCCACGGAGAACGCGTGGCGCAGCTTGACGTCGGAGACCTCCGAAAACTCCCCCAGGCGGTCTATGACGGCGCTGAAGCCCGCGAGCGCCCCGATCTCGTAGACCACAAGAGACACGTCCTCCAGGATGTGGCCGAACGCTGACGAGGACTGGGTGATGACGCCGAGATCGACCTTGCTCTGGAAGTACAGGGGCGCCACGACCGCGGCCGGCAGCAGCTGGATCATGTAGCTGCCAGCGGGCGGTTTCGAGGGTTTGGTCAGAGGGGGCTGTGGTGCTATGCTCGTTTTGCAGCTAGGAATTCAGGTTTGAGGGTGCATGGCATAGTGTTGCTAATGAAGTATGCGGCGGATGGCAATTCAGAGCAAAACGGGCGCGTCGGCCTCTACTGGCGCAGGTTTGATGCCCCTCACCGATAGAAGGATGTGAAGAAGTCGAGGTTGCGGCTGTTGACCAGCAGCGCGCTGTAGTTGTCGACAACGCGCTGCAGCCTCTGGGCCGCGCAGGGTTGGAGTGTCGGAGCGGGTGCGTGAGGGGTGGCTTCTGATGGGCGGTTCCTGCAGCGCTCGTTGGGGCTGATATCCCATATTTGCGCTCAGCCGAGGCCGCGGCGACCCGTGCCAGAACCCACACCTTGACACTAGAATGATGATAGGGAAAAATCAGCGGGTCGCCGCCCCAACTGATCACAGGCACCTGCAATGCAGCTCTCCTCGTCTTGTTCCCAATCCCTGTGGGACCACCGTCCCCCCAGCCCCCCCTTCGCC